AAACGAGCTATGTCGCGGGTTGGCAAGGGTAAACCAGTGACAGGGACAAGGGTTCAGGATACAAACTGGAGCTTATGTAGTGTTGGTATAGGGTAAGCCAGTGACTGGACACAAGTGTTCACAAATGGAGCTATGTATAGCAAGGTTGGTCTGGGGTAAACCAGTAACAGGACAAGCTGGTTAACAAACGGAGCTATATGTACTGTTGGTAGGGTAAAACCAGTGACAGGACAAGTGGTTCACCAAAAGTACAAAGCTATGGTAGTACCTAGTGTTGGCGAGTCGGTAAGCCAGTAACAGGACAAGGGTTCACAAAACGGAGCTATGTAGTGTTGGTATAGGGGTAAACCAGTGACAGGACAAGGGTTCTAAAAAGAGCTATATGGTCACTGGTAAGGGTAAACCAATGACAGGACAAGGGTTAACTACAAACGGAGCTATGTAGAGTTGGTAAGGGTAAACCGGTGACAGGACAAGGGTTCACAAACGGAGCTATGTAGTGTTGGTAAGAGTAAACCAGTGACAGGACAAGGGTTCACAAACGGAGCTTTGTAATGTTGGTAAGGATAAACCAGTGACAGGACAAGGGTTCACATGTCTGTTGTATTTCACCTATTCAGGTTTCTGTTTCATCGGTAACTTCATGACGCGTGCCCCAAACAGTGCGGCTATCAACACTGCCAAGGCCCTTATTGCTTGCGGCGTCAGCATGGGCAAGATTCGGTCCAACCACATCCTCACCAGAGGCCACCGCGACATGGGCAGGACTGACTGTCCGGACAGGGACAGCTAACGATCTGGTACAACATCATCAGAACATGGCTGCGCTATTGAAATGTCCATTTTCACAAGACATATATGTATTAATGGTATGTCATTTTGAATAAATTTGATGATAGAGCTGAATTTCATTAGTTTGCAAACTATAGTGATCATTGTAGGAACACTCACCAAATACAGGGAAGTTACTCAACGTTTAAGCATTACCGTTTGTGTCTAGAATTAAAATAAAATTTATTTTGTTTGTTTTGTTTTTCTTATTTGATTTTCAATGTTGCTGCTGGACAATAAGTCTGTATGTCCGTTTGTTTTTTGTTTTGTTTGTCGTTTAACGCTGCAGTCAGCAACAAATATTCTCTTTGAGAGAGGCATTGTAGAAGTTGTAAAGATGAAGGAAATCAAGGTTCTATTGATAGTGACTTGCTTCAGTCAGCGACATTAGTACCTACACCGAAACGTCGCACTCATTTTGCAATAAAGAAGTTGACTATCCATACAAGCTGGTTTTCCTTAATATTCCTATGTGGCGGCAGTCTGTAAATAATCGAGTCTGGTCCATACAATCCAGTGATAAACAGCATACAAAAATCGATCTACGTGCTTCGGATACGATGGCATGTGTCAACCAAGTCAGCGAGCCTGACCACCCGATCCCTGGGGTTAGTCGCCTATTACGACAAGCATGGGTTGCTGAAGACCAGTTCCAGCCCGGATTTTCACGGTCTAATGTCTGACTCCAGTTACACGTATATATTACGTAGGTACCTTAATTATAGTCATTGGGTTGTGGTCGAAGCAAAGTTGATGGGTCAACGTTTGTAAATCTGACCATTCTTTATAATTTCGCGGGAACTTTGACTTTTCATCGACTGCTTGACTTGAAAATGTAAGAATTCGTGTCCAGCAATGGCTTCTTAAAAGCAAGCATTAGCTGTAAATGTCTCCTGAACAAGCGTCGACCAATCAGAGGGCCTGCTTCGACCACACACCTCGCACCTCTGCGGACCTATCGTCATCCATTTTGTGACCAGATCGTTAAGTTGAGCATCAGAATCGTCTTTCAGTCGACTTGTAGAAATGACAATAAATGATTGGTAGCTGTCGTGAGTGCTGATCCATAGGCCAATCATCCATGAATATGTGTACATTCGATTGCATGTGGTGTTAGCGTAGCGATCGGCAAAGCAGGCGGGTGGGGTGCATCGAAGCGTCCGGCCTTGTCATGATTCATTGTACTATGAAGCGGTGTTCATCTCAAAAGATTTTTTTTTTCATCTTAAATCCTCTCAAAGACACGAGGTCCTGTGATTTAGGAACCTAATCGCCAGTGCACAAATTCAACCGTCTAACCCACTCAGCCAATGCCGCTTCCACAAAAATGACAACCGGTAGTCTAGACCACGGATTTTGTGTACGGCTCCAACACATGTTATATTTGGAACTACACTTTCTCAGTAAAGTACAGATTCTAGTACTTTCGTTGGATTGTGTCATACCCATAGGGCGTGGGTTCCCGGGTGGGACTTAAAAAAAGAGTTTTACTGAGAAAGTATATTACCAAGTATTAACATGTGAAACATTTGACCAGATTCTAAATGGCATTGTATATTCATATTTGAAATCACTTCGGAAAAATATTTCATTGACTGTGGGAACGAGTTTTCTAGCAGTAGAGACAGTGACTGAAGTAATGTCACCGTGCCCTGCGTTAAACCTATACAAAGTGTGTTAACTAGGGCGAATCAAAGTTGAAGCCGCTCTCAAATTTGCAGTATACTAAGAGGCCCAAATGAGGTAGTGGCAAATGGTAATTTCATCAAAGCATGATGAAATCTTCAGCACATACTTCCAAGTGTGTTGTCATCAGTAGGGGATGTACGAAACAATGTTTACGAATCCACCACACTTAAACACAGAAACACACTCGTTTATGTTGTCATAAACGATTGTTTAGATTTATAACAACCTTGATCAGGCCCCTTTGCTTGTCACTATAAGGATGTATATTACATCAGGTGATCAGTCTGTCCTCGATATCACAACCCAGACGCACCCGACAGAGAGCAGTGTAGGTAAAATGGTTCTTGCTCTGTTGAACATATTGGTGTGTTGTTACATACATATCTGTGTTCGTGATAAGATGAAACGCTCCAAGTGGAATACACATACAATATGCATAGATCTAGAAATGATAACAACATAGACAGCCGTAACACATTGTAATCCATTATGCGATATACAGGAGATACTAAGGCACCTAACCCGTGAAGATCTTGGTTAAAGCTGATATTCAGTAACCCATGCTTGTCGTAAATGGCGACTAACGGGATCGGATGGTCAGGCTCGCTGACTTGGTTGTCATCGGTTCCCAAATAGGTAGATCGATGCTCATGATGTTGATCACTGGATTGTCTGGTCCAGACTCGATTATTTACAGACCGCCGCCATATAGCTGGAATCCGCGCAATACCATTTTTATTAAATTAGTATATATGATTTGGTATGAAACGAGCGAAAGCGAGTTTAATACTAAATCTTTCACGAGTTAAATAAAAATAGTATTTCACGGAAGCGGTTTAGTGTTCTGTTTATTACTCTCCAACATAAATTGATAGAAACTACCTACAGTGTGTTGACTCTGAGCTTTCCGCGAGTCAACATTAGCACTGTGACGTCATAACTGTAAACCATTATGACGTCATATGTCTAGCGGTATTACACTAGTGTAACATTGCCGTAAAAATATTACACTGCAGCATCTTCAATAATCAGGCGTACATCAGATCGTATTTCCCGAGGGAGAGGTTTACAACGTAGCTACTTTAGAAATGTACAGTTTGATATTTCCCGTTTTTCACCTCCTGATGAATACATCGAGTGTCACAATAGTTATATCACAGAATGTCTACATGCTGCAACTATACTTGCAATTCCTACTTCAGAATTCCAAGCACAATTAAAGCCATACTGGAGGAAGTATGAACTTAAAGAACATCATGACCATATGCGTAATTGACGCAAAAATTGGATTTCTAACGGCAAAAGCCACAGCTCAGATGACACATATTTTATTGAATATAAACAAGCTAAACGTGCATTTTGAAGAGGCCACCGTTCAGCTAAGCAACGTTACAGAAATGAAACATTGGATGAAATTTACCAAGCAGCGGAGGTAGACATCTAAGAAAACTTTAGAGTAACAAAAAAGTTAAAACGTAAAAGAGAGCAAACACAGTCTCTAACTTATAACAGTGACTCCTGTAACAAGCAGGAAGGTGAATGTAATCTCTCTGCCAGGTGCTTCAGAGACTTGTCTGTACCTCAGGGTCCAGAATGCTTTGATACTGGATTTACAGAGCACGTTGATAAGTTTGTAGAAGATGTTGTATATAACTCTGTAAATGACGACAATCATTCAGTCATTCTCTCCCCGTTTACTAAAGATGAGGTACTTGATAGAGTAAAACGTCTTAAAAACAACAAATCTCAAGGCCCAGATAATATTTCAAACGAGCATGTAAAGTATGCTGGTCGGTCTGTTATTGACCATATTGTATCACTATTTAACGCCATTGTATCGTTTGAGTATGTACTAAATGCATTTAGTGTTGGTAATATTTCACCAATTCACAAAGGAAATGGTAAAAGCAAGCATGATCCATGTAATTATAGAAGTATCATTCTTACACCTGTTCTGTCAAAACGTTTTGAAAGATTACTGCTCTAAAGAATTGAAACATGAACAAAGCTGAATGAGATTTGCCCCACCCTCTCCAGTTTGGATTTAGAAAGTGTGCGGAGCTTACTCTAACTTAAAGAATGGCCTACTATGTCGAAAGAAATTCACCTGTTTATTGTGCCTTCCTTGATAATGAGAAAGCGTTTGACAGAGTTTGGTTGAATGGACTTTTCTATAAGCTTTACAATTTCGGGATTCGATGTAAACTGTGGCGACTTATATACACTATGTACACATCAATGAAATCATGTGTTAGCACTGATGGCACTATTTCTAATGTATTTGATGTAAAACAGTGGGTAGGTCAGGGTCGTGTCTTATCAGCTTGGTTCTTCACTCTATATATAAACGCCTTTCTTCACAGTATCGTTGACTCTGGGCATGGCATATGTTTACCATGGGGTAAAACACCAGGGGTGCTGTTAGCCGACGACTTGTCTTTGTTAAGTGCATGCCCAGGTGGACTTCAAAGTGTGCTTGATGTTGTACATAAGAATGCGCACACATGGCACTTGTGTTTTACTGCAGCAAAGAGTTTATTTCTTGTATTTGGAGACACAAAAAAGAAATGTCCATCCTATAATATACATTGATGAGACTGAAATACCCTTTAATACCTTTTAATACACATGTAAAATTTCCTGGCCTCCAAATCTGTTCATCCAGTAGAATTATAGAATTTACGCAGTTTGTATGTGAAAGGCTTAGGATACTCCTTAATGCCAATAAGAACCATGGCCTTCACCCACTTTGTTGCGGTAAACTATGTAACAGCGATACTGAATTTGTATTTAAGAAAGTGCTTGTGCATAGACTTTGTCAGCACAGACAGACTTCATCACTGGAGAAAGAGCGATATAGCAAGTCATCGCCAATCTTCCACATGCTCAATCTTGTAACAATGTATGACCTAGATATGCATGTGTACAACTATGTAAACCAATCTTCCTTCCTAACGAAGGCTGAGTGGTCTGTACTAGTGAAAGAAAGAATACCAGTGTATTCTGGAAAAATCTGAACATTTGGATTCACCGATATATAAAAGAAACATTCAACAAGAATTCTATATGACTATGACAATGAATAGAGAAGTAATTACACGTATCCCTAAACCAGGTAAAGATAGAAGATTTCTGAAGAATTGGCGACCTATATCCCCCCTAAACGCATTATATAAAGTTATAAGTACTTGTATCACAAACAGGGTTTAACAAACATTGAATGTTCTCATAAACGAAAATCAAACGGAATTCATTCCAGGAAGATGCATTACGGAAAATACTAGACTTCTCTATGATATTATGTTTGAAACTAAAAGGCAAAACATAAAAAGGTTTACTTATCTTAATTGACTTTGAAAAAGCTTTCGACACCGTGTCAAAAACATTCATTAAGATGGTCCAAGATAAGTTTGGTTTTGGAAGTAACATTCAAAAATGGGTTAACATATTCATTTCTAAAGCATCCTCGTGTATGATACAGAATGTTCACTTGTCAACGTTTTTCGACAACGAAAGGGGATGTAGACAGGGTGATCCCATCTCTCCATATTAATCTTATTGCAGAAATACTAGGAATAATTATCAGAGATAACAACAGAAGAAAAGTCAAAAGAATTGGAAAAGACGTGATTTTACGTTGATAGGGAAAATAACCGTCGTAAAAAGTTTAGCTTTATCCACGATTGTCCACATCTTCTCATCTCTCCCTAATCCCCCGAAAACATTTATTACTGATTTGAACAGATTATTCTTCAAATTTATATGGAATGATAAAATTGACAAAATAAAACGAATTAATTTAGTGCGAATGTAAGAAGACGGTGGTCTAAGAATGGTCGATGTAAAACCTTTATCGACTCTTTAAAACTTTCATGCTTGAAGAGATATATTTCAAACTGTAAGAACTTCTTCTCCTAGAAGCCAACATTACAAAAAACTATAAAGTTAAAAATCCATTTTGGAATTACTCTCTTGATGCCTACCATAGATATTTTTAAAAATATGTGTGTAACAATAACGATATTAATGATGTACTCATGCAACCAGTATGTATAACTCACCAGTGTAACCAGCCAAGCTTGATCATTCATAACTGAATTAAATGTGGAGTAGTCCATATCAAAGATATTTGTAAAGACCACGATTTTCTAACATTTGCGGAACTCAAAGGAAATTTTGGCATGGAGGGTACTGTACTTGTTTTAAATCGTGTTCTCCTTAGTATACCCAAACGGTGGAAAGAAGTTACACGAACAAAAAACTATTTGGATATACCGAAGTTATCCACGTGTTCTCCTTGGAAATATTTGATTAAACCTAGTAAAGGCTATAGGATATTCTGTGATAATTTCATATCTGATTATAACATTCCGAATGTGTGTCTGAAATGGAAAGGGGAACTAAATGCCACTCAAACAAGGGGAACTAAATGATTTGATAAATTGGAAAATCATATTTTCACAATGTAGACAATCCACTAGTTTTTGCAGAGCCATTTACACTAAACGAGAACTACTGAAAATGAAACTGATAGATAATGACCTATGTACATTATGTGGTTCAGTGGTAACTATTTACTCAACCACCTGATATTATCGTCAAAGCGCCACATTTTCGTTATGAATATTAATGGACACAAACCTAGTTTCACAATCTACAGAACATTATTAAAGGAGGTTCATGAGATTGAGAAATTTGTCATTTGAAAACAACAATATGAAACATTTTTACAGAAAATGAAATGCCCTAGATGCAGTCCTGTAATCAGAAATTAGAAATCACATTCTCTGTATTACTTATGTAGCATTTCGATTGTTTTATCTTGATATTCCCAATACGAAATACATTGTACTGTCTGCTTTTTATTATGCAATTTTTAACATTTTACTCCACCTATATATTTTGTTCAACTGTAACCAAGTAAAGTGAATAAAAAAGAATACTTAAAGCTGAGGAGTCATGTGTTGCTTCTGTAACGAGGTTGAGACTTAACCTTGAAAATAGCAGACTATAAGATGTCCTAAAAGTGTTCACAGACTGTGGTCTACATGTTATAATTTGCCAGAATGTTTCAACAATATTGCTGCTCTTCTACGTATCAGCACACTTAGCATTCAGTCTCTTGAGTGTGAATGTGGCATAGTTGCATATGATATTATAAAACATGTATTTCTACACTGTACTCTCATACAAAGTAGTAGAAATGCTTTGAGTCACTAGTGGACATGCTAGATGTTGTCAATTTTGTCAGTTTTTCGAATGATGAAGACCTATTTGTCTCATTTATGCTCCGTCTACCAAATGTATATGCCCAAGAGCTTGAACAAGAAATGTGGTTTAAATTAATAAAACTAATCGCAAAGTCTGTAAAACCCAGGCTATATCAACTAAAATACCTATTCTAATTTTGATTATCACACTCTGTAACCTGTGAATACATATATATAACCTATGTTACAACCTGCTGTATGTTCGACTTCGGAGGAAATAAAGATTATCTATCTCTATCTCATAGTCTAGTACGTTCGTTGGATTGTGTCCTAACCATAGGGCGTGGGTTCCTGAGTGGGACTCAAGCCAACAAAAGAGTTAGAATCTGCACTTTACTGAGAAAGTATAATCCCAAATGTAACATGAGATACATTTGACCACTTTCTAAATAGCATTGTATATTCATATTTGAAATCACTTCGTAAATAACTTTCATTGATAGTGGGAACGATTTTCTTGCAGGGTAGATGGGAGGTGGTGACGGAGGTGATGTCACCGTGCCCTGTGTTAAACCTATACAAAGTGTGTTAACTCGAGCGAATGTCAAAGTAGAAGCTCGAGTTTCCTGTGAACAAAGAGGCCCAAGTGAGGTGAGGGCAAATGGTAATAATTCAAAACATGATGAAATCTTCAGCACATACGTTCCAGTGAGTCGTAATCGTTAGGGGGCGGTGGAAACAAATCTACCAATCTGTGTACACTTAAACACACTTAAACACAGAAACACACTCGTTTATGTTGTCATAAACGATTGTATAGATTTATAACAACCTTGATCAGGCCCCTTTGCTTGTCACAGTAAGGTTGTATATTAATTACGTCAGGTGATCATTCTGTCCTCGATATCACAACCCAGCCGAACCCGACAGAGAGCAGTGAAGGTAAGATGGTTCTTGTTTTTGTGAAATGTTGGTGTATTGTTACATATCTGTAACACACTGTAATCCATTATTTGATATATAGAAGATACTAAACAACCTTCCATTTAATACCATTTTTATTAAACGAGTTAATGATTTGGTATCAAAAGAGCGAAATCGAGTTTGATACTAAATCTTTCACGAGTTTCATAACAATTGTATTTCACGGAAGCTAGTTTAGTATTCTGTTTTTTACTCTCCAACAAAACATGATAGAAACTACTTACAGTGTGATGACTCTCAGCTTTCCGCGAGTCAAGCTAGGTCTAATACCATTGTGACAGAGGTATTAGCATTGTGACGTCATAACCGTAAACTATTATGTCGTCATACGTCTAGCGGTATTACTTTAGTGTGATATTGCCGTAAAGTATTACACTGCAGAATCTTCCACGGGCGAGTAATAATCACTTTGATCTCATGGATTCTATAAGTTGTATCCTGTCCCTCGGGTAATACGGTCTGATGTACGCCTTTTTATAACAGTGTCATCCGAGGCGGTGGGCGAGGGATAACACTGCTACAGAAAGGCGTACATCAGACCGTATTACACCAGGGAGAAGTTTACAGCGTAGTTATCTTACCGCCATGTTAAATGTACACTAAAATCTTTATATTTTGAAGATCGATAAGCTCGCAACCAACTATGTTACATCAAACCTTTGAAGGGCAAAGTACATGTAAACAAAATGGCGTCTGTCTCTCGACTGGATTTTTAAAGTCAGTGAAACATATTCTGACAAGCGTAAAACTGCTATAAAAATGGTTAATTATATTTAAGTTGAATGGGCAAACGATGCAATGTTTAAAACTGTTTTCAAAAGGCAGTAAAAGTCGGTAGAACAAATATGTACATAGTGAACTCAAAAACAGCTAATCGAACGATTTTCGAACTCCATGCACTGCATGCGTCATATTATGAAGTCATACGATTGTTAGCGATACAGCTTCTCGGCTGATAGATTGGCGGTTACCGTGGCAACGGGTAATATTTTTTCCAGTTGTCACCATCCTGGGAGGGGTGACACGCAAACTTGTTCAAGCGTCATTGACCAATGAAATTAAAGTATTTTACACGAAGGTAAGACAAGTCTGTGAATTGATAGACGAAGGTGTTGGCTATGAAAACGGCTTTCGAAAGTCATGAAGTAAGAGATATATTTTATCAAAACGTCAAAAGTACATACTGCTTCTCGATATGTTTATTTTAGGCCTTTATATCGCCTGATAATTCTGAAGTTTACGTTCTTAGTGCAGGGGCTTATGTAGCAAAAATGCTTTCCGTGGGAAGTACATGTTAATTGCTGTAACCACTGATAATTGTAATCAGTATTGCGTATGGATTCAGAAAAAACATGGTTTCATTTTTTCTGATGATTATAAGTGTCATTCTTGGGTTACTGAACATCGGTACCCATAATCGAGCTATACCAATGTGAGAAAAACATGTTTATATAAAACAGTTACAACATAGGCATGTGGTATATCAAAATGTACCTTGCGATGTGTGTTTTACAACTACCATTATATATCATGAATCTCAATAATATATGTATGCATAATAATCAATATGATGATAATTGCTTCTGCCAAAACCGAAGGTTTGTTGCAGAGGGTATGCATTCAACCCTGTTTGTGTAAGTGTATTTATGTGTTAGTATCTTTACCCAAAAACCACTAGATGGATTGCAATGAACCTTTCTGGATCTATTGGGTATGTCCCTAGGACAAAACAATTAGATGGTGATGAAAGTACACTCTTCAAAAAAGAAACGCATAAGCAAAATATCAACGAAAATAAACGGTATGGCATTGAAATGATGTAGAGCAATACATTGGTATCTCATGTGCATTTTACAAGAGTGGTAGTTATCATAGCTTTTACTGCTGTCCACGAGGTGACGTTGACGTTACTACCTTGTATGACCACCCCTTACTGCTAGAACTGCACGACATCTTCTTGACACAGACTGAATCAGTTGCTGGATGTTTCGTGTGGAATCCTTCTCCATTCCACCTGCAGCATGTTGAACAATAGTTACTGCTAAAGCCTCAATGGCGGATGACGACGTTGACGACGGAGACATTAATGTGTTATTGTCCAGGTAGTCCACTGTAGCACGTGCTGTGTGAGGTCTGGCGTTGTCCTGCTGGTACAGTTCCCTTTGGCGGTCGACAAGAACCTGGTCGATATAAGATTGCCTTGGACGAGCACCAATTCCGACCTGCCCGGTGTATGAGATGGCTCCCCACATCATCACACCATCTCCACGAAATCTGTCCACTTACCTGATGCAGTTGGATGCAAAATGTTCATTGCGTGGTCTGTTGACACGTTGTCTTTCGTCACGTTGCTTGAGGGGATACCGCGATTCATCACTGAACCGAATGTGCCTCCAGTTTCCAAGGTTCCATGGCTGCACCGCGGACGTTGATGTAATCGTGTCAGACAGGGGGCAACTTTTGGGCGTCTGGCACGCATACCTAGCTCTCGGAGACGGTTCCTGATTTTCTGGTGAGACATTCTCCGGGTTCCAAACCGTTCTTGTGCTGTGTCCCGGGCGGAACGATGTTAGTCACGTAGATGGTTTACCCGGATGTAGTGATCTTGGGCTAGTGTGATGACGCACAGTCTTCCTGGTCTTGGATGGTCATTAGTCGAAATGGATTGCACAAAAGGATAGCAAACAGAAAAAATGGAACCATGTTTTTCCTGAATCCATACACAATATTGATTATAATTAGTATTGGTACCAAAAATTAACTTGAAATTTCCACGGAATTACACAAGCCTCTGCACTATCTCACAAAAGTCGAGAAAGGTCTCTGCACTGTGGGCACTTTCTGACAAGGGATTCGACCAAATTAAACATGCAGTTGTTATGAATATATGCTAAGGATGAAAAAAAGAAAAATATTTTTTCGAAAACTCAAACTTTAAACTCGCTCGCCCATGGGCCGGCCCTCGTTCATCTCCGATGATATCTTGGTTTTTTTAATCCAAAGTTTAAAAAAGTGGTATTAAATCTTGTCGTATGGTTGAGTAAAGTGGGTACTAAAAGAGTATACCGTGGCAGCTGGTAATATTTCTTCTAGTTGTCACCCTCCTGACACGGAAACTTGTTAAAATGTCATTGACAAATGAAATTAAACTATTTTACACGAAGGTAAGACAAGTCTGTGAATTGATAGACGAAGGTGTGGACTATGAAAATGACTTGCGAAAGTCATGGAGTAAGAGATATGTTTTATCAAAACGTCGAAAGTGCATACTGCTTCTCATGTCAGGTGGGTACTGAGGAATAATTTAGTGTAAAAAAGGGAACTGAAGGAGAGTTTCATGTGAGGTGGGTACTGAGGACAGGTTTAGTGTAAACTGGGTACTGAAGGAGAGCTTCATGTGAAGTGTGTACTGAGGAATAGTTTAGTGTAAACTGGGTACTGAAGGAGAGTTTCATTGGTGTATAGAGGAGAAGTTTAGTGTAAAATGGGTACTGTAGGAGAGTTTCTGTCCAAATTGGAGGCCACTTAAGAATATGACCACATCATAAGCATGTGTGTTGGAACCACTATGGTTTACTGATCAAGCGTTGACGATTTGTAGCCTATTCTGACCCACATATTACAAACACATGAAATAGCAAATCAGTGTTATTCACATAAAAAACAAAACAAAAACCCTCAAAAAATCCACACACTGGAGTGAGTGAGTGAGTTAATATTTAACGTCACATCGGCAATATTTCAGCCATATCGTGAAGAGAACAAATCGGACATTTATAAATAATATGTATGTATTATAAAACCTGTCGTCAAAGGACAGTAAAACAACTAGACCATCACACTTCAAATTTAAAACTAGCATTTAAAACTAATAGCATTATTTGGACAATACGTAATATGTAAACAGGCTATAGATCGCCAACAACTGAATGTGAGTGAGTGAGTGAGTTAAAATTTATCATCACATCGGCAATATTACAGCCATATCGTGACGAGAACAATTAATTGGTATACATAGTAAGTAATAGTAAATTATACAAAGCTGTCTGCGAAGGACAGTCAAATAACTGGACTATCACAGAGACGAATTAATTAAAACTAGTGAATACATCTAAAGCAGTTTAACTATAGATGACAATACAATATAAAAACGTGCTATAGATTGCCACTAACTGTTAGATCACCATACCAGGGACCATGGGGACTTACAGTACCTTTGCTTCCTGCATGGACCCTAGCTGATGCCACTAACTGTTAGATCACCATACCATCCCTTACAGTACCAGCTATTAGCTAATTTTGGATATTCAAGCCACAAATTAAAATTAAAAGAACATATATTCTACGATTAAAAATAACAGTAGATTTAAATTTACATTGAATGCTTTGGGACTTACGTACCCTCTGGGTCCTTATGAGGCTTATATTTTCCAAAAAGGTGAAGACAATGAGTTTTGTACTTAGCAAATTTAAAGCCGTTTTCAAAACACCATTTATTTATTTTGTTTAAACACAACAGCAGTTGCCGTTCAATAGTAGGCATATTCTTACCGCGACAAGAAAAATTAAAATCCTTCACAAAAAGTGATACATCGACTGAATCGTTTAAAACCTCCGATAAACTGCTGATCTTAATGCTAAATAAAGTGGCAGACAAAAAAATGCTT